TGGAAAACATAATCTGAATTAAATAACTTTTAACAGGTTCTGAAATGTGTCATGTTTTGAAGATAAACGGCTCCACTTAAAAGCATGAAGTGAAAAGGATCATGAAGCCTAAGTCTAAGAGCTGCTGAGTGACTGTGAAGCTTCATTAAAATGTCATAAAACTGAAGAGTGAAAATGTGTATCATTCATGACTTTCCCCCCTTCGAAGCTTAAAATGCTATTGCAAGGCAAAATGCCTTGGCTATGACTAATTTTTTACTTAAAAATAAAAAATATTCACAGCATGCCATTGTATTTATAATCTTTCACTTTTTTTTGTGGTTTAATAGAGTAGTCAACTTAAGCAACTAGGGAACATTTTGAAAAACATCAAATAAAAAAACTTGGCATACAGAGTAATTATTTTCAACTTTTTTCATTGAACACAAAGTGGTTAAAATAAGAAGTGTCTGGTTGTGCTTTTATGTCCTAGTACAACCAGATATATTTTATTTTAAGGCAAAGTTTGTATTAATATAGATCTATAAAAGCTTTTGTTACCATGCATACATATTCCCCTACAAATTCTTTTTTATATTACTTCAAAATGGCCATGTGCCTCAAGATAACCTAAAGTGGGCATTTGTACATCCTTTTTAACCTAGTAGCAAAATGGCTACATTAGTTATTAAATAAAAGCACAAGAATAAAATTTATTATCCAGTTGTACAAGATTATTACTTCAATAGTCATTCATGTTCTTAAAAGGCAAGACTGGAAATCACAATTGCACTGTCAGATTCGGTCCTTTTGATTGTAGCATAGAACTTCCACAAATTTGAGACTTAACAAAAACAACATTGTCACAATTCCATTGGTTAAAGACAATTTTGTTTTTAGTAATAAATAATTTGTGGATGCTAACAACTCAAAAAAACTTATAGAAAGTTTGGATACTGTGCCATGAAATATGAGTATCCTACGTTTGTTTAAGTATTTTTTTTCTGTATGGGTGTTGTCATCTCATTTTATTAGTGTTCATATAATCACAAGGTAAATTTACAAACTAAGACTTTTGCCAAGTATTTGAAAATTTCATTTTAAGGTTTTCTATCACACTAGTTCAAATACATTTCTCTAAAACTACTCTTTAAAAAGCTCCTTGGGGATTATTTCAGTCATTCCTCACATGCGATTTGCCTCATGAGCTTGGATCCAAACAAACAGTATTTCAAAAGATTAACTGTTAAAATGGGAAGACAAAGAATAAAGTTATCAGCTGATTTGGGCTGTGTATTAGTCTAGGTACTTTGGAGAAACAAATCCACAGCAACTCACGTATAAGAGAGTTTTATGCAAAGAAAATGTGCATCACGAAAACATCCCAACCCAATGCTGCCCAAGCCCACAAGTCCA